ATTTTAAGTACATGCTTTCTCTCATCTATGTTTTTACCGATGTTTCCCTTTGATCCTCTTGATTCCAATTAACGGTCCCTCTATACATAAGTGCTGTTGTTGTTTTTTCAGGATACCTAAATACATGTAAAAGGCTTCACCAGCGAAACACTTTTGTATCATAGTTGGTAGTGTTCTTGTCAGTTTTTCATTTCGTCGCTCAGATCAGTGATGTTTTCAAAATAACGCGAGCAAGGAAACCGACGGGAAAAATGACCTCTAGCATGCATGTGCCTCAGTTTCTGATACTAAAAGAGTTAAAACCACTAATGAAATAGCAGTTCTGTTCAACTCTAATCACTGCAGATGATCAAGGAGTGAAAAGTTGAATTGGCCAACGTGTAAGTCCTGATGTCTCATGGTGGGATTTAGCGGCGTTTTGGTTCAGCCGCTTCATACATTAACATCAAGTTCCTGTTGGGATAAAGCCATCGACTGGAGTTCGGATTCTGTGAGTCTCCTCCATGTGACATGTGGTCTGCATCTCGCTCCACTGCTGTTGTAGATTCCTTATGGCGTGATGGTTCATTTCTAAGCGTATAGCCAATCCGGCCTGGCCCGATTTACCACTGTACAAAGTACAGCATCATCATCCAATGGATCATGCTCTGTTTTCTTGCACAGGTTTTTATTGGAAATCTTTTCCCGTTATTGAATCCGCAGGATGTTGCGAAGGCATCTGTTAACAAAGATCTGCAAATTTCTGAATTGTGACTTTTGTTGTCTTCTTGGTCGGGTACTGGCTCGCACGCAAGCACTGATTTTGCACACTAACGGCGTGACTGTCCACGACTTACTTCTAGTTGAAATGACATGTCATTTCCAAACTCCTATAAGTTAAGACGCGTGAATTAAAACATTCATCAAAAATTGTCTGCATATTTAAACCTAGTCACATCTTTTTGGTACCGGCTTCGGCGGCATATTTGGCTAGTTTGTTCAAGTCATAGTTCTTATTATTCCCACGACGAGATCGAACGAACCTAATATCTCTCCGAAACGTACCATCAAGTACATGTAACTACTGCTTCAAACTTTGACCCAAAGGCTGGCGATATAAGAGGTTGGTACCACAGAAAATCAAGGCTTCCGATTGGCTAATTGCAAATTTGGGTGAGGTGATGTGTGAATTTGTAACGATTCTTCACTGTGGCACTAAGGAAGGTCATCGCCTTTTGTTATTGTTGTTCAGTCGCTGTTATTTGCAGTTTTTGTCGTCATCTTTTGCATTATTATTAGGATTATTTTGACTAACATTTACTAACAAAAAAACCTTTTTGTAAAAGAAGCCGCGTAGCCGAGTGGTTAGGGCGCCGGACTTGAAATCCGGAGGGTCCCGCTCTGACCACTAAGCTGGAGTTGTTTCGTGGTAGATCGTAGTTCAACTCCTCATCCTTGTAAATGGCCAACTGGCCTGCCTTCCGCCAGTTGGGATTTTTAAGCCTATTATATTTAATTGATATATTTATTTCTTTCAATTTAAGTGGCATGCCTATGAACTAACGAGGTGTAGCTAAGCGGTCCGTGCACGGTTCGGCCAATTCAATTTTTCAATTTTCTTGAAAAATGGAAAAAGCAAATATTACTCAACTAAACTGTTTGTATCCATTTTCAGTTGACCAAGAAAATTTTAAATTAGAAAAGGGTCAGTAAATATGCATCATTTTTTCATTTTTCTAATTTTAAAATGAATTTAAAAATTAGACTGAAATCTTGTTTATGGCTTTAAACAATATTTTTGTCAATTTTCCATTTTTCTGTTTTCCTAACCAATTGAAAAAACGCAAAAATGGAACATACTTGTGACCATTTTCTGTTTTCCATTTTTTCGTTTCCAATCAAAAACGGAAAAACAAAAAATTGAAATCTATTTTATTGAATTTTCTATTTTTCCATTTTTAGATCGAAAACCGTAAAATTGAAAAATTGAAATCTATTCCATTGGAATTCCTATTTTTCAACTTCTTCACAAAAAGTTTTTAAAAATTCCTATGATTCTCGATGGTTTTGAATTTTAGTTCTTGTAACAATATCGATTTTGTTTAAAAATTGTTACCGATATGTGGTCCCAAAATGCAATAGTAGAGTTGACACGTGACCTAAGGTTTTTCCGCCAAGTTGAGATCCCGTTGAGTTATTAAAGTGCACGAGGAGGAGATCAGCTATGGACTGAGTCTGAATGTATGGCTGTCTGCTTGTGTTATTTCCCATGCTCTTCATGTGATTCTGAACTGCCAATACCAAGTCAAATTTACTGCCATGGTCGACTCGGACTTGGTCTAACATACCATATCGTAAGATCGTTTCCAAGGTGACAGCAAAAAAGAAAGTGAGCCTAAAAAGATTGTGTTTGCTTTGAAACAACTTAATATAATTTTATATACCTTTCTCTAATGCAGATAAGGGTTAATTATAACGGGACCATAGGCTAACCTAAATACATCCCTGCAAATGATGATATTATTTTTTAAAGCCATAACCGACTTGCCAGTTATGAACGAACTGTAGCCATCCACGGCTATGACCTCGGTGATGCCATAATGCACAAGTTTCTCGTTCTGGTCAAGATGAAGTTTGTGCCCAAAGTATTCAGCGAAGTATGGTACAGGACTGAGGTGGCGAGTAATCGATGTCTGCCGTTCACGGTACGGTGTTGTTGGGGATTGACGCGTTTAATTAAGTTTGAGTGCTTGTCCTACGCTGTTTACTCCAAGGCGCAGGCCTGTTGCATGTCTGATATAGCCAGTCATCATTTTTCTTCCGTACGTTGTACCAACCTTCTGTATTTTGAAAAAAAAAAAAACAAACAGTGGGTCTGACAAATGGACAGAAGATTGGGAATAGACACAGAGTGGGAGTGGGTTATCGAAATGGGTACCGTCGGGTAGCAGTGACGTTACAAAGGGAACTAATTATTTTATAAATAGTGCAAGACAAAATAGAAAGAAGGTAAGTGACGGTTGTTCATCCAAAGACTGGACAAGCCCATGGACACCTCTCCCAAATTCCAGGTAGAACCAAGTTTTATGAGAGTTAAACTGCATAATTTAATAGCATAACGTCTAGAAGCGTAGTTCTCGTTAGTCTCATTGAAGTCGTCAAGCAATGCTCCTCTCCCGATCAGTGTTGCGTGACGACTCACATTAGACTAAGTTCTCGTCAACAAACAAACAACTCGTTTTTGGTGGCAGTATTAGCTTGATTTCTCCCCAAGTATCACTTAAGCAGTTGCCGATTATTTCTATAATATTTCGAAAGGTGACAGTAAATACATGCTCTCACCTTAGCAATTGCAGAAGCTACCACGTTGTCGAGATCTACAGATGTCAAACCTGAATCATGACGCTGTATGTTATTCGTAGCACAAAATCGCCGAACGCTTCTCTCGGATAGGCCTTCAACCCCTGGATATCTTTGCCTTAATATCTCACTTACTTCTTTGTGTGTTTTCGCTTGCTTTTCGACAAGCTCCTTTATGTAATTAGCAGTCACTACTTTCTCAATCCCATCCATCTTTCGAACGTCCCGCCAAGAACTGACGCATTCCCAGTCCCTCGACGCTGCTTGCCCGTATGCGGCCACTAAAAAGCTAGATATTTCAGTAAATCGTTCGCGTGTACATTTAAAATCAAAACAGTATATTTAACAACATCGATGACATTTCTCCAATTTGCCAAATATGGAAGACGTAACGAAAAATAGACACAACTGTGATTTTTCCATTTTTTGCCAAACATAGAAAACTAGAAAGTTTAATGGACTAGATGTCAATTTTCTGCTTTTTGGTTTTTGATTAAGAGCGGAAAAATCGAAAAACAGAAAATGCCCACAAATATATTCCATTTTTGCATTTTTTCAGTTGATTAGGAAAACGGAAAAATGGAAAATTGACAAAAATACCGTTTTTAGCCATAAACGGGATTTTTCTAATTTTTTAAAATTAGAAAAATGGAAAAATGGTGCGTTTTTACTGACCCATTTCTAATTTAACGTTTTTCTTGGCCAGCTGAAAATGAATACAAACAGTTTAGTTGAGTAATATTTGCTTATTCCATTTTTCAAGAAAATTGAAAAATTGACGTTGAATTGGCCGAACCATGCACGGACCCTAAGCGCATTGACCACTAAAAACAACAACCTTTGAACTTTTAAAAAAAAAAAATGAAAAATGAAAATTAGAGAAAGTAAAACCGAACGATGTTTCGATGACTCCACGTCATCATTCAAGGTGTTTAATATATTCAATGTTCTGTACATTTTACAATATTGGCTGAAATTTTGCCAGTGGGAAATTAGTAAAGGCAATCACATGATTTGGAATAATTATGCACGAGTAAATTTTTCAAATGCTATGAAAATTTGCAATGTGTAATTTGTAGTCTTTGAAAAAGTGTTTGCTGCACTCCTGTTTGGCCAATCAGAATTGAGTAATTTTTCAAAGTGTATCACTACTTTTATAATATTCGCTTATTTTCCTATGAAATTTATCCAAGCCCAATTGAGGGGTCGGAATAGAATATTCCGCTTAGTCGGTAACGATGCTATGGAAACTTAATTTAAATGTCAGGCGTTTTAAATATGACCGCTATTTAATCGAGTGTTTTATTTGATCCGCACAGGTTATAAAAGAAGCTTTCACTACAACCAAAACAGTTCACAATTAGCAAAACTGATGCAAAGTTGGTTCATTTAGATGGCCCCAACAGGTTTAGAAGTTCGTACTTCGAAGAAAATATGCAATACACTGATGAGGATACTAAGGACAAATATTTTAGAATGTGGAACTGCTGAGTTATCATAACCCAGGGTCAACTTGTGTCAGTCGTCAACCTATTTTAATAGGTTGACATACTGACGGAAGAATAAACAGTCGTTTGAAAAATGTCAAGTTCATCCAAATTCATTAAATAGATTCTCGCTTGAATTATTTCTGTTTTAATATGGAGAGACTATAAGTGAGCTAAATTCTAAATATTTCAGGTTCTTTTGGTATTCCATTACTGTGAGTGTCGGTTTGGACCAGTTTCACGGTCAACTAAAGGAAGCATTACCTAATACGTCTACTACTGAAATTAATTCACATATCTACCATTAATTTTTTGTTTTTCATTACTCATCAGTGGCGCTTTTACGCTAGTTCACTGTCATGAAAGCCTGACAAGCCATTGATACAGCCTCGTGTTTTCCATTCAACCAATGAGATTCAATACAGTATTTTGTTTCCACCGTAGCAAATATCATTTCTAATTCAACATCCAAAGACGAGACTGTTCACTTGTCCCCTGGTGTTTTGTCGCACGACAGGAATACAAATCTTTCGAGGAACTTGGAGAAATTGGGACACTAGATGATTCATCATCGGCTGCGCAGTTGAAGTTCAGGGCCGTGAGAATATTCACCGATGAGACGACAGAGAAACGGGACTCAAGGTAGGCTGTTTACTTTATGTTGTTTATTTTGAGACTATTCGCAGAAACGAATGTTATTTACTCGTGATAATTACACAGTCTACACCCGATAGTAGTAGTATGGTTTATTAGATATTAAATCAAATTAAAGTTTAATAGGATTCTGGGGGCTATAACACTTCGCTTCTTACAGTTTGAAACTGCTTCCAATTGAAGACATTTAAGGCAGATGTCGTCTATGAGCGGGCACTTGAAACACAGCAACGAGCTTGAGTTTTCTGATCCAAGGAGCCGAAGCATTCCTTTCGCAGTGTGAAGTACATTATCTACTAAAGTGAATGATGTTTATTCCACAAATACGGCAGTTGGCGGATACACGTACTGTGCGCTTCTTATCTGCAGTCTTTTTTAGGAAATATATTGTCAAATGGCCCAGATTACATAATATATACTTCCCAGTTTTGCTTCGCAATTAGAATGGAATTAATTTAGACTTTATCGAAAAAAAAAGGAATAAACTAGTTAAAAAAGATACGCTACCAAGCAAAGTTCGGATTGGATTTTTCAAGTTTCTGTTTTTCAGAATTTTCTCTAAAATCTTTCATAACTGATAAATTGTTATTAAAGTTACAAGGATAATCAAAGGGTTAACAAATATCGGCATTTGAGACTGAACAAGAACGGTGTTTACTGATTTTCTTGCAACAGAAATCTTTTTAGTAACCATGAAATGCAGATGGTAGCCTTCGGAAATAACAAAGGGCTGCGTCAGATAGGAACTGTCCCTCACTCAGTTGTTGTGTCTGATGTCTTATCTCCGTGAATGACAATTCCAATTTTAAGGCATCTTTTAAAGCAGTAACCATGTTATATCCATCCGAAACAACTGCAAATTACAAATTGATTCACGCTGTACTGACAAATTTATAGTTTCTGTGTCTGCCGGGTTGATGAAAATCGATAACAATTTGCCTTCTGCTTCAACAAATATGTTCATAAATCAGACGTTTTCCAACTCTTATTCTGTTTCGTCGTATGTTGTATGTATGAGAGACACCAAACCTGAGTAATTAACTTCCAATTTTCGAGTTGTAATCTTTCTTCGTCTAAACGTAGCCTGTCAGCGCCAACATTCTTAACATTTTCAGGAGCTTGACTTTGAAATGTTTTATCAGCACGGTTCCTCACGAGATCTCGAGAACAGGAAACTGAAAACTGACACGGAAATTGAATAGACACAGAATGTTAACATATCTTGTCATTTACACTCTAAAAATATCGACATGGCCTTTGGCCGGGTGTCTTGTTTTGTTGCTAAAAACATGATTCATGTACGATTTTAACTGGATTAAAAATTACAGGGATATGCACATCTTTTATTAACTGTTTGTCGTTTCACGAGAAAAGCATACATTTTTAACCAGTTTCCGATAAAGATAAAGAAAAAATTTAAAATGTTTTAATTAATCCTGCGAATCATTCCTTACGCTCTTAAAAATAGCTGTAGGCGGAAAAGGCCCTTCAGTTTTGTGGGTGGCCTAGATTTCATGGCATCCAGAAGTTAATACTTTGTAAAATGTTCAACCAGCGTCTGTTAATCGTAGATAGTAGCTTAAAGTATTTAAACTTGAACACTAATCTTGTAGCAGTAACGCGAAAAGGAAATACCTGCGTAAAAAATATTTCCTAAAATTTGAAAATTATTATTTTTGAATATAGGTACGATATATGTTGAAAAAAAAAACTGCAGGGTAGCTTATATTGTAGGATACCCATCCTTAATTTAGTAATAAGTAAGTAATGGACGTTAATTAAAAAAATAATAATAACATTAATAATAATAAAGTTGACAGTTACTTTTTTAGAAAATAATTTTAAAAAATAATTAATAAAAAACTTTACTGAGTACGTTTTCATACATGAATCTTACAAGTATCTGGTAAAAATTCAGAAATTCTGTTGTTCCTTAAGTTTTTTTCCCTAAAAATAATGTCTGTAAAAATTTCAATAGCCTACCTACATAGTTGTACTCTGTAACCATTTACAAGCATTAAGTGGCTATGTACACAAGTAATGGTAAATTAATGTGAAATAATAGTAATGTGTATACTCTAGGCAATTCCTACCCTACATGTCCCTCTTTTTAACAGAGGAAAGAATGAATGTTGTAGAAATGTTAAAAAAAAGCATAAATCCAAAATAAAAAAACCAGTATTAACAATTAGAGTTTCGCCCAAAAAAAAGAAAGGAACTAAGTTGACAGTTACCTGTGATAATACATTGTTCGTGGCTAGTCTTACCCAGCTCGTTTCGTCCCCGCCAAGGGACTCATCAGTTGTAATAATAACGATGATAATAATAATAATAATAATAATAGGCACCATAAGTTAAAAGCGGCAAGACTTTAAGGACTTAAAATAATAATAATTGTAATAATAATAATAATAATAATAATAATAATGATAATGGTAATAATAGTCAATGTGGTTAGTTTAGCAAATCTTATATTAAAATCTATTTCTTAAATATTCTTTAAAAAAAAACTTGCAAATTTCTTTTTTTTTTTTTGCTATGTAAAAACGTTGCATTGAAGCCAGTCGTCTGTGACTCGTGGTTCCACTGAGTTTTCAACATGCAAACAAAAATGCATCATTATAATGCTGATCAACTAATTTAAAACTAATTGGATTGAAGGGTCGGATGTGTTTGAAGACCCTACAACAGGCAGAGTCCAAGTGTACGTCAGAATTCGTCCCTTGGTTCAAAGTGACGTCAGAAGTATAGACGGAAAAGGTGCTGTCATTGCGGAGGATGACGATTTAACCCAGGTACGAATTTTACATGGGGAATTAAATATAAGCTAATATAGTTTATTTAGAGAAACGAAACTTCTTCTAGAAGCTATATAGCTACTGGTACGCTTTAATCTCAGCCCATTATTTGTTTAGGATCAAAATAAAGAGGACAGTCAAGGATCAGTTGGTTTTCCGGGCCTTAGTCTCATTGGTTGATTTGATTTGATCTGCNTTTTTTTTTTTTTTCATTCTTGTGTTTGGAAATTTGCACGGACACCTGCAATAGTATTTTCCATTCGGAATTATTCGTATAGGTAATCATACGGTTTTTCTCGTTCAATTTGGAATTAATGTGCACGAGTGAGTTTTTCAAATGTCAGATGTGTACTTTGCACTGGTGTTACACTTTTTGCACTGATGTTACACTTTTTGCACTGGTGTTACACTTCAACTGCACTGCTCTCAGCCAATCAGAATCGAGTAATTTTTTCATGTATATTATTAGTTATGAATGATCTCATGCGCGCACAGAATTAAGAAAATATTGTAGAATCAATCGGCTAACTATCAATGAGATAACGAGGTTCGATTCTGGCCCATAACATGCTTTACGAGGGTTAATTGGTTTGCCGTTTCAGTGAGATGAGTTTTGTTTTGCTAGGTTCGCGTTGTAGATGGCAAAAGAGAGAAAATCTTTCAGTTTGATCAAATACTGTCCCCCGATGCCGCTAATGAGGAGGTACGTGATCAACTTCTGTGATTTCCTGACTGTGTTAGTTTTGAACTTTTTTACTTAGGGGATTTCAGTTTTTTAAAAAAAGTTGTTTTAATAGACATTGTTCGGTACTTCGTTCTAACTTGTGACCTGTTTAACATTATGCATTCTACTTATGAGCAGCATTTGGCTTGTCAGGGCCAAAAGTACTTTGTGATATGTCTTGTTTCACTGGGAGATGTGTTCTTTGTGATAAGTCTTGTTTTACTGGAGGATGTGTTGTCTTGTTTTATTAGGTGTACCAGGTGGTTGGTAAGCCCCTCGTTGAGGCCTCGATGACAGGCCTTAATAGCATCTTAATGGCTTACGGGCAGACCGGGGCAGGTATGTTATTGTCAGTCTTAATTTTTCACTGTGCATCATCGCATGATTAGGGTGTTTAAATTTCTTTTCTGAAAATTCCTCAATATTTTTTTTTGCACATAAAGAGACCTTATCTTTGTAATATTCCTTTGCATGGAAACGTTCACAGGTAAAACGCACACTTTGATGGCTCCAGATGGACTAACGACCAGTGTTGTGTCTCATATCTTTGCCCTCATCGGTAAAGACGCAGCCCATTCTTACGCGGTAAGCCAATACATTTAGTGTTGTTCTCCTTCAGACCACATTGACAGAAGTGTAAGGTTGGCAGTAAGCAAATGTTATCTCGTTTAACTTATATAAAGCACGTACTGTTGAATTACAAATCACACGTAGAGCTTCCGATTCTCAATATAAAATCAAAATCCAATCTCATAAGTCGCCGTTATGACGTCATCATTTAGAAGTAATTGTTCCCTCAACTTTTCAAGTAAAAAGGAACATAAATCAAGTAAGGTTATGACAGGGACCGGGGTTGTTGAACAATCGTTAGTCTGTTCCAGGTTCTCAGTCAATACGGACGATCAAAAAGAGGCGGGCGAAAAAAAATCGCCTGAGCCAGACTGGAACAGTTAACAAAGGTTTGCCTTTCCCTACTAATTGAATGCTACTTCAACGTGAATCGTCTACTGTGTTATCTTATTTTCCTTGCAGGTTACATGTTCTTATCTACAGATCTACCAGGAAAGGGTTTATGATTTGCTAGGTGCCGAAAAATCAGGGCCTGAAGTCTATTTAAGAGAGCATCCTAAGAAAGGTAAAGTTACTGAAATACTTTCCTTGCACTTCTATTCTCGCACTGTCCTTTAACCTGAAACGAATGTACACCACTCCCAGTGATCCTTGTGGTATATGAGGCATGATTTGTTTCAGCGTATCGTCAGTCTGAGCTTGAAATGAAATGAACCCAGACTCCTCTCAAGAGGCATTCGTCATGTATGAAACATCATCTGTCTCGACGTGTTGTCACTCTTAGATGAGCCATTTCCGAGTTGCTCTTACCTCTGTTTCAAAACGAGTCTTGGTGGATAACCTGTCATATTGGAATAAGTGTTTCTTGCACGGTCACTGTTTTGTAAATTAAACTCATTTTAATGTGAAAGGTTATGCACCAGGACTCGTTTTCAAACAGAGGTAAGAAGCAACTCGGAAATGGACTTTTGATCTGAGATAAATGCAGTCTTCTTCATATACGAAGCTTGAATTGTCTGGGCGAATTGTCAGCCTGAACTTGGACTAAATTGAACGTAGACTCTTCCCAGTCTTTTCAGCTCAATTAGCACTCTATGACGTTCACTTGGTGCAAACTAAAAATAATTCACATTCCAAAGTCCATGATTCGTTACCTTTGGGAAAACCAACACACAATAATGTAGGTATTGTACGTGCACATTGTTCTCGGATTTCCCGGGAACGTTATATAGCACTGTCCATCATATCGTTTCCTTCTTTACCTGTCCTAGGAGTATATGTTGAGAACTTGTCAGAATACTTTGTAAAATGTCCAGAGGAGATTGGCAGGTTACTGAAGTCTGGAAAAAAGAAGCTGGCCATTGCAGAAACTAAAATGAACAGACAGTCGAGCAGGCAAGTGACAAGTATTTTATGAAACGTTACTTTATCTAAATTTCCTTACTTCGTTTTAGTTTGTACGTAGCAAAACAACCTTTACCTCAGTCTCGCCTTCATGTTCATAGAAAACACGTCTGCTGATCAAATTTCTGGTCGAATTCATTAAAAACTGACCCGCAGAAGTGACTTTTTTGACGGATCCGGAGTCTAAGTATTAATAAGCGGCTTTCAGTGATCAGGGGCCAAAAACGCGGTCCGTACGTAACCAGTACTTGTTATTTTTTTTTTTTTTTAATGACCTATTTGCACTTAAATCTTTCATTTTCAGATCACATGCCGTTTGTCTGCTCAAGATTGAGAGGCTGAGTGTTCCACGTCGCTACGGAGGTTTGCCTAGTAGTTTGTTCGTTTATTAAGTGACTTGTTGGTTCCTTCCTTGATAAGTTGTCATCTTTGCTACTATGCCCCAATTTCGCATTCCTTGGGTCTTTCCTCATACCTCCCTCTTTAAGCACGAAAAGGTGAGACCTGAAAACAAGATTACAGAAGGATAGCATTAATCATTTATTAATACATGCATCGGTCATTAACTAATTCTTTTCCCTTTTTTTCCCTGGCCAGGTGTTGTGTTCTGTATTGTGTTGTGTTCTTGGGCAAGACGCTTCACTCTTCCAGTGCCTCTCTCCACACAGGTGTATAAATGGGTACCGGCGAATTTGATGCTGGGGTAACCCTGCGATGGACTAGTATCCCATTCAGGGGGGAGTAGAAATACTCCTAGTCACTCTGTGCCCACTGAAACCAGAGATAACCGCGGGCCTAGAGCCACTTGTCCCGTATGCAGACTTACCTTCTCTTTTTATTCTGTATTCTATTGCAGGCATAACAGATTCTTTCGGTAGTTATGAGTCTTATTACATGTCTGGAACTTCAGACACTGAGTATTCAAGTGAAAGTGGATCAGTGGAGGCCGTCGGTTCCTACTACCAGTACGATGTAAGTATTACTTACTGTTTTGTTACTTTACACGGTTCATTTAAAAGAGGATCAACCCAACTTTTGTTTCATTTCATTTAAGTGCCCCGGTTACTTGATTTCTGATATGACTTCCTTCATTCATTTTCACTCATCCGTAGAACATAGGGCGTTCGGCCTCACTCATCGTGTTGGATATGGCGTTTCAGCTCCTTGCCTTGCTGTCTTTTCTTTCTTAGGAAGACGAGGAAATGCTGTCAAGGATTTCATCTCAAACTCGTGGTTTAGCCGCAGTCAGAGGAAAACTTTATGTGTAAGTCTACTCTTCTTGTATTATCGACCATGCCGTTCACACTGAAATCTGATGTTCTAACTGTTCTTTTAAGTTTTTGTGTTTTCTGATAATTCTGTCAAGATTCTTTGTTTTCACATCCTGCCTCCAGAGAGAAATAGCATAAGTAATTGATGTGCCTGTGAGTTCATTTTGGGTGAGCAATCAGAAACACGCTGTTACGCGATTCAATGAACGGAGCTGATTAGCCAGGCTTGTCGGTCCTCTATCAGTAGACCGCCTGACTGGCAGATAAAAATCTGCGATACAAGCGAGCTGCTGACCACTTACTGTCATCGTCGTTGTCGCTGGAGATCTGGCTGAGTCGTTACCCCAAGTAGTCATACTGTTCGACATCCCCGCGACTCTCTTTGTGTAACAGATAACCAGTTTACACTGCCACGGAAATAATTCGTAAATCAAACTGATAGCGGATCGGTTTCTGACGCATATTTAAAATCTATTATGTAAATTCGTGGTGGCAATAATAACTATACTACATAGACTGCACTATCTCTGTCGCACATCGCATGCGACCTATTTGCGTTTGTAGTCGCCATCCAAGGAAACTACACACTTGACGATATTGAGAGTTCTGGGCACAAGGAAAACAAAACTCGCTTAGTGTGCACTAGACTGTTAAAGTTCGCCATAAACATGAAGCGGTTATCAGTTTGCAGGATTATGTATCCTTAAATATTATGATTTCCCAACTCAAAAAGGGGTTTTTTGAAACACAGATAAATATCAGGGCATTTTTTTGACGCGAAACGTAAAATTTCGTCGAAATGATGTACAATGAGTTCAGTGTATAGTGCACATGCAGCATCTAATCTATCCTCATTTGTGAGATTTACCCATAAGATCTATCCAGGTATCTAGGTCTCGTCCAAAAGATGACAAAAATATTGTCGGATTTTTAGTCAAAATACAGCGGTACATCAACAAGTATGAATTGTCAATATTTAAGATGATATTCTGTTTCCTTACATCAAGAGGTGGGGGGCTTTGCTCTTGAATCGCACAGAATGCAATATGCATCTCAACGCTGTGGGCCTGGTCGCCTGATAACAAAAACGCCGACTCTTTTTCAGTCATTTATTTCGTAACTCCGCCCGTTTTCACGGCGAAAACGTTCGTCAGCGGGAAAGATTTATAACACCTTTTCAGGGCCAGTCAGATCGGTTGTTAAATAGTGACAGAGTTCCTCAAGCCTCACGGGTTGATTAGTGATAATTTTGTTTTTCGCCTCCAGCTGTGATCTGGCAGGCAGTGAAAGGGTGAAGAAAACCAAGGCCGAGGGTGAACGACTACAAGAGGCGCAAAGCATTAATTCCTCTCTTCTGGAATTGGGGTATGTGTAGAAAATGCAGTCTTTTCAGCCGACATTAATCTTTTAAATACGATCCGGTTGCAATTGAGCCAAATCCCAGATCCCGTTATGGGCCTGATCAAGGGAATAGGATCATAATCTCTTGGCCTGACAACGGACTCTTTAGGAACCATGGGGTTGCCACAACTCGGCGCATTTAGCCTAAGACCACCATTCATCGGTTCCCTTCCTCGTGAGATTCGGCCGTGTTTGTTCACTAATGTACATGTTGATCTTATATTGATTTACGGGTTCGTTAACGACTGAACTCGAGACCTGGAAGTGTGATACTGTCCTAGTATGTTGATACACCTAACCTTTGAAAATTATTTACTAAAGAACCTCCTCTTAATCTTGATTTCTAAACTGGTTAGAAAGAGTAGCTCTTTATCATCTCGTTTCCACAGTTTGGAACATCATTTAAACATGCAGTAATATTTGGTGATGAATTTTTATTGATATTTGTCAGTGTTTATGACTATTTAAGTTGTCGGCAGGAGAGACGAGGCAGAGGAAATATCTTGATTATCCAGTGATACAGAAAAAATATTGAAATCTAATGTGACTCCAGATAGGGCCACTCTCTGGAATTTGCTGTTTTATTTGTAACAAATTTTACCAGGAGCTGTCTTATTAACACAACTGCAAAATATATTGTTTGTTCAACCAATCTAAAACTTCAGATCTGACCAATGAAGTAGGACTTAGCGTAAGTCCAAAAGGATTGTTATGAGTATAGCAGCCACTGATTGTTTCCGTTCTTCGTTAACTGGAATGATAACAGGATGTAACGTCGCGAAGTTCAACATAGTTTGTTTTCCCTATATAGTGTTTCAAGATGAAATATCAATCTTTTCAGGAATGTTATACAAGCATTAGCTGAGAGAACGAAGCGCCATATTCCATACAGGAACTCAACATTAACTAGGCTTCTTCAGGACGGCTTGGATGGGAACTCCAAAACTAGCTTAATCGTGAGTCAAGTACAAGCCAACAGTTTTACAAGTACTTTTCTAATTCTTAGAAGAATGAGTAAATCGATTTCTTGCTCGCTGTTTATTGGCTTAATATATTAGAACCTACAGTTAGGCTCAGGTCAAACGTCGAACTTCACATGAGACGAACTTAACTGAGCCAATCTAGTTCATGAAAAGTTCGACGTCTAACTCGACTAAGTTTGTCTGACTGAATTTACATCGACCAAGTTGGTCGATATAAATTTTAATTGAGTTCGACGTTTGACGAAACGGTCGAGCTCAGTTTACCCGATTGGATCGACTCAAAATTGCAATTTCGTTCGTCTCATGTGAAGTTCCACGTTTGACCTGGGCCTTATGCCACCCTCCCTCTCAACGCATCTAAAGGGAAACCAACGAACAGTCCAAATGGGTCGAATAAATGTGGTGCACGTGAGGTACACGTGAGTATGTGCACGGATGTGAAGCACAAATCGAGCGCTGCCAAGATCGTGCTGTTCTCCGGCATGGAGGTGGCCATGGATTACAGTTATTTGAAATGAGTCCAAATCAAAACATGCAGTGTTTTGGTTTAATTTCTCCTTGGTTAAACACGTAGTTGTAAAACCTTGAATATTCTTTTCTGCTTTATAGGTTTGTGTTTCTCCTTCATTTCGTGATGTTAACGAGACGCTATGCAGTCTGAAGTTTGGCCTTCGAGCAATGAAAGTTCATAACGTTGCACAAATTAACGTCGAGGTAAGCCCAATTTACGTTTTAAGGATAAAAATTCTTACGTTGTAAAGTTAGCTAATAAAAAGAGGGAATTTTTAACGTCTCTTGAATAGGATTAAAATCCTGAAGGGAAATTTTTAACATTTCATTTTTTGCACTTTGTTCTTCGAGTAACTTAATTAGCACGTGACATGTGAATATGTGGTAACTTGTCGTATTCCCTTGTAAGGCCTAACTCACGCCAGCGACACAGTAACGACACAAACGACGAAACGGCATATCCGCTTTTGTTGTTAATGTGAACTTCGACATAAAGACATAAGGTTAGGTGAAAAGAAGACTTGGGGGATAAACAATAATTCTGTTTCCGTGGAAAAAATACAATTGAGAAGAAAAGAGTGGATGCGTTTGACCTTTCAACAAAAAGCTTCAAGTCGGAGAGCACACGGCCAGTATCATAACCTCAGACGGTATTTACACGTACGCAAATTTTGCAGCAAAGTGAGATAGTACTACATAAAAAAATTGTGCGAGGAACTTTATTCTGTAATGCAAAATGTAATAACATTATAGTTTCATACATATAAAAGATTTAGTGCGAGGAAGTCGCCCATGCCCGTTCTCTGTAATAACATTTCAGTTTTTATACATATAAAAAATTTAGTGCGAAGAAGTCTTCGCCCTGTCCAGTTCTCTGTGATAAAAATATAGTTTTAATACATATAAAAAATTTAGTGCTGAGGAGTCTTCGCTCTATCCAGTTCTCTGTTATAAAAATATAGTTTTAATACATATAAAAAATTTAGTGCTAAGAAGTCTTCGCACTGTCCAGCTCTCTGTGATAAAAATACAGTTTTAATACATACGAAAAATTTAGTGCTAAGAAGTCTTCGCTCTCTCCAGTTCTCTGTGATAAAAATACAGTTTTAATACATATAAAAAATTTAGTGCGAAAAAGTCCTCGCCCTGTCCAGTTGTGCGCGAAATAAATATAGTTTGATACATTTTGACAGTTGTGTACACAATATAAGGGTGTTTCTGAAAAATATCTAAGGGGGAGTACAACCCAAATACAAACAGCGAAACAGGGCGAGGACTTCTTCGCACTAAATTTTTTATATGTATTAAAACTATATTTTTATCACAGAGAACTGGACAGAGCGAAGACTTCTTCTCACTAAATTTTTTATATGTATTAAAACTATATTTTTATCACAGAGAACTGGACAGAGCGAAGACTTCTTCGCACTAATTTTTTTATATGTATTAAAACTATATTTTTATCACAGAGAACTGGACAGAGCGAAGACTTTTTCTCACTGAATTTTTTTATATGTATTAAAACTATATTTTTATCACAGAGAACTGGACAGAGCGAAGACTTCTTCGCACTAAATTTTTTATATGTATTAAAACTATATTTTTATCACAGAGAACTGGACAGAGCGAAGACTTCTTCGCACTAAATTTTTTATATGTATAAAAAATATTTTTTTATGATAGAGAACTGGACAGGGCGAAGACTTCTTCGCACTGAATTTTTTATATGTATTAAAACTATATTTTTATCACAGAGAACTGGACAGAGCGAAGACTTCTTAGCACTAAATTTTTTATATGTATTAAAACTATATTTTTATCACAGAGAACTGGACAGAGCGAAGACTTCTTCGCACTAAATTTTTTATATGTATAAAAAATATTTTTTTATGATAGAGAACTGGACAGGGCGAAGACTTCTTCGCACTAAATTTCTTATATTTATAACAAATGAAATGTTATTACAGAGAACTGGACAGAGCGAAGACTTCTTCGCACTACATTTTTTATATGTATAACAAATATTTTTTATGATAGAGAACTGGACAGGGCGAAGACTTCTTCGCACTAAATTTTTCATATGTATTAAAACTACATTTTTATCACAGAGAACTGGACAGAGCGAAGACTTCTTCGCACTGAATTTTTTATATGTATGAAATTATTTATACAACAAAATAAGCAGAAAAGAAATTTCTTTGCCCAATTTTTTTTATCAGTAACAGAATGAAACAAATATTTTTAGTAAGAAAATACAGAATAAAGTTTTACGCACAAATTTTTTATCAGTCGCCGCAATATTAAAAATACTGCTGATGGCGGACTGGGATCAACAATTGTGAGGCCGCTGTCATTGGTTCTTTGTTATGTCGATGTTTTTTCCAGTTGTTTGCAGTAACATAACATCATAACGACGTAGACATAACGACGTAAGGAAAACAGTGTTTTGTTTCCTTGTATATCGTTATCTTCTTGCTGTTACATTGCTATTATGTCATTGTGCAAGGACGTTCACACTACAAACATTAAGTCCTTCTTATGTCGTTATGTCGCTAGTGTGCACCAGGATCGAGGCTTTTTTTTCTCTCTACCACCATGCCAGTTGTTTGTTTCAGTCCCCCTTTATGACCTTCGAGAAACTTCGGTAACTGACCCATTTTGTATCTAACATCTTGGAGACATCGAGGAATTGATTTGACAGGCAATTTGTCAAGTAAATTATATTGTTATCAATTATAGCTTCTGGCTTATTGCTTGTGTAAATCGGTGTTTCAATTTATACAGTCACTTTCAACTAGTTTCTTTTTTTGTTAGTCATTGTTCATACATATTTAAATATTGTAGTTATTCACTGATTACGAACAATATTTCTAACAAATAAAGGAATAACCGTAGAGAGGAGAGCACTACTTAAATTCAACATCTTATAGCGCAGATGTCCGCATATATTTGGACCTTTGAAATGAACAGAGACCTGATGTTATTTAGAGCATATATCAGACAGCTGTAACCTTTAGTTTCCAAGGACAGTTCAATATTGATACATAACGTACACGGCGACGTAGTGAGTCGAGAGCAACAAAATAGGCGTAAAGTTTCTTGACTACTGGGAAGTTTACTTCTGAGATAGTTTTCTTGTAGTCGTTGTGTTTTTGATTTATATGTTTGGCCATTTAGCTTTAATCTAACCTGCGGTGTTGAGGCTAGCAGGTTGTGAGATAACAATTTTCTTGTTTTGTCTGTTACCGAACAAGTCATTTGTTCAGTTAGATTGTCAACATCCAAGTCATTTTAAAATTTGGCCGCAAGGAAAAGGATTTTCTTCAAAACTGCTTGTTGTTTATAGTGTAAATGGGAGAGAAAGCTGTACCCGAAGCCAAATTGTATCAGCCTTGGTAGGATAAAGACTGCATGATAAATTTCCCTGATGTATCAGCACATTGAATTTGCATCGATGTTCCCTTTTAATTTTGTTTAGATTTGAGACCGATAGCAAAGGAATGTCACAGATCCTATCGCGGTCCCCGCCTTCTGACAGGCCTTCTGACATGTTATGATTCGCTATGTAAATATGTTCAACATCTTAAACACATGCTTTCGTCATAGAAATGTCTGCGATAACCCTTTACTAGTTTTGGTTGAGTAGAAACATTGTTTTTGTTTGTCTAAGCACGTTATTACATGTACTTCATTCTGCAGATACCAGGCACATTTTAATGCCACCCTGCAATCTCGCACAGTTTTGTCTAGAACGTTCTGTTATGAGAGCGACATGGAACGTGGGAAATCTGAATAATGGCGCCATATTCCACAATTGCCATTATTACCTCGTTTATTTAAAGCTTACTATTATCATGAAAAGAAACTACAACTTACAACTAACGATTTTATCCCCCGAATTTTAGATAAACCAAAACGGTTGGGGTAGTTAGTTCATTATGGGTGCAAAAGTTCATGTCAATACGTATTTTATGTTAAGTATATTCAGGAGCTTATTGCATGGGGTCCTGGTATATTGTGTATTTATTAACTACAATTTACTGTGAGAAATCCATCCGTGCTGTAGCGGGAACAAAATTGTATCAAGTTGAAAAAGTTTTGTTTTGCTGGATTTTCTTGGTCTTTCTTCAAAAAGAATTAAATTAACTTTTGAACACCCTATAGTTTTTAGCCGGTGATTTTATAACGAAAAAAAAAAACAAAAACAAACCACTTTATATCTTGAGGGCAAAAATACCAAGAATCCGTGCATTTGTGAAACAAGAAGAATTTACTACCGCGAGCTTTGTTGAAACCGGCTTCAGTTCTGAAAAATTAATTAACAGATTACGAAAGAAATTGTACTTAATAATCCCTGAGAAGTGTTTGAATTTATGTACGTTTTAAGATCTTTACAGTGAATGTGAGTGTACGTAGGTTTTTGAATTTTTGGTAAAGATATGTTCAAGAGAACTCTGCAAGATTTGGGTTACGCAATGTTTCTAGGTTAGCTTTTCGGGACTAATTGTTTCACAGGAAACCGCATCACTAACTACTCTTGGTCGGCTACTTTTTTCAATGTCATTTAAACACTTAAAAATGCATTGTTTACGATATTAAAAGCGGAATCATTATAACACAACGAAGAGAATCAAGAGTGCTTGATACTTGCCTTAGGCCATTTTTTTTTAAGAAAGAAATAAAAATAAATCATAAATCTCGGAATCCCAGCAGCAGTCACTGGCTGTTGTTGTTGACAGACAAAGAATGTTTGCAAGACAAGAGAAAATATGCCCGTCATTCTCAAAAAGCACGTGCTCCAGTTGTTAGCAGTTATATTGTTTGATCGTCACCTAGTTAAAATTTATTCATTCGTTGTTCATTTACTTATCGCGCGAACACCGTCTGTCTTTCGTCTCCTGTGTGCTGTGATGGATGCTCCGTCCTTTCTGCACGATTCACCGCCGGAATGTGTTTTATGCGGGCCACATCATCGTTCGTTTCATGATTCATGTCCATAAGCGGAAGAACGGAACATCAGTCCTGGAGTTTTCCCCCAGGCAAGAACAATCTTTGCTAGATTTCTGCAAACCTCTCATGACTTGAGTTAGACGCTAACTTTGTAGTGCAATGTTTCCTTTAAGGTTACATGAGGCTACATTCTTTTTTCGATCAGAGTCATTAGTTGACCTTCTGTGTTTATCAAACAAGAAGGTTGAAGACTCGAATTGCAAATATTCTTGACAGCCAGTCATTTTAAACAAGTGGCCTGCATTATCCGTAAGAACATATGGTATTGTTTCGTCGCCCTGCTCGCTTCTTGCCGCACTGAAGCGACCGCTACACGTTAATAATGATGTGTTTGTGTAAAAACATTCTTGGTTGCCTTTGTAGATTGACTACCAGAAAATGGCCAAGCAACTCAGTGAAACATTAGAAGGAAAAGGTTAGTAAATTACTCCAGTTGCACTGGGATATATTGTCGCTTGCATTAATAGATTTTCAAGAAGTTTGCGTAAAATTCCAGGACCTTCTTTCACAGCGGCGGTTTTTGAGCATTACACCGGTGGAGTATTTTGAGTCCCTTGAAGGCGTGATTAAACTTTTGAATGAGCTTTACCCGGCATTATTTGTTAATTACATTTTTCGTGTGTTGCGGTTTTGGCGTGTACGGAGATGAAAGAGCCAAACGGGTCACTCGCTCTTGCTTGTTATTAAATCCCATGTATCTATAAGTACTATCCAAGTCGACGAGAAAGCTAGAACAACATCAAAGAACATGGGGCTAAATGTTGTTTTATGCAAACATATCGCCGCGGGCTTTGTGTTTAGTGCAGTTTAAAATTAAAACAAACACAACATATCCCTTGAGAAGCTCAACTTACACCCCTTCTATTTTAGTAGTCGCGTGATATTGTGGCTAACCAGGCTTTTAACAGCATGTACTTTATGCTTGAATGCCTCACGCGCTTTTTTTCCCCTTGACCTTTATTTGTTAGCAAGTCAAAGCAGAGAAGACAAAAGTAGCATTCTCCTGTCGTTGTTGGAGGCAAACGGTGCAAACTGGTACCCTTGTTGTGCTCAATAGTAACTGACAAACATCGCTTGCGGTTTTTGTTTTCTTAAGTTCGTGCCAATTAAAAACCGGCTTTATTATGTTAATAGTACTCTTTAGAAATGACTTTTCAATACATCGGTAGATTGACTGTCGGTTTTATTTCCCGGGTAAAGTTTCGCTCTTAATTATCGTCAAAATTTGTTTCTCGTACAGTATAGTGCTTTCTTTATCGCTTTGTTTCAATGGGTAGGTCTGTCGGCTTGCGCTATTATGGTCCATAATTTACCTATTATTTCGTGAAGTTTTGTGTTCTTATCTGTCCATTGCGCTCTTATTGTACCCAACTTACTTACATAAAATTTCAGAGCATCGAATTATCAAAATTGGAGACCAAAATGTGCTTTACATTTTACCTGGAAATTTTGCTGTTATGGATGTAAAGACTACTTGTTATTGTTCCGGACAATCTTTGATTCTGGCATTTTTTCGACCAGGGATGTTCTTGGTAACCTTCATGATTTTGCACAACAGAAATACCGTTTCGATTGGTGACCACAGGTCAGACTGGGTGCTGGCTATACAAAAGGAAAAGTTTGTGCGTCGTTTTTCCGCCGTTTTTATTACACTTTATAAAAGGACTTTACCCGTAATTGCTTTTAGAACATATTTTTCTATAGAAACAAAGCCTTTGAAGTTATCCGCCAGCGCGTCATACCCAATTAGCAGCGAATCTATAGATTTAGCGAGTTAAACCGATAACATCCCTGCTACAACCTGCCCCCCATTTATGTTTCATGTTACTGTCTTCCAGAATTTGCTGCAATAGAAAAGTCAACGTCGGACCAGTTAGGTCATACCCCAGAAGCTTATTCCGGTTTCTTTGACATTTAGTAACTAGGAGTATTCTACTACCCCTTGGATGGCATGCTAGTCCATCACAAGGCTACCCCCAGCATGAATTCAACTGGCTGGAGAGAGGAATTCTGAGAATATAGTCCTTTGCCCAAGAAATATGGCTTGAAGACCAAGCGTGAGGTCAAGGTAACTGCATATTAGTCAAGTTCTTTTTTGCGTATTTATGAACCTAGACGGAAACACGCAAACAAAGAACGAGGTCAATATCCAGCCATCTTGACCGAACAAGCTTGGTCAATAAAGGATTTATTACATGGCTTCAGGGCATTTTTTCTTGCGGGACGTAGCGCGTAATCCCAAGCGACTATCTTACTCGCCCGGGGAGTCAATCACAGCGCAGGATTTGGTTCATCTCACGGAGCTGGCAATCCCACTAGTGAATAGATTAGTCCCAGGTGAATTATGCTGGTGGTAACCCTGTAATGGACTAGCATCCTATCCAAGGAGTAGTAGAAAAAGTCCTAATTGCTTTTTGTCACAGAAACCAGGATAACTAGCTCGACGTGATGAACAGGGCCCGATCTCGTACCGCCTCATCCGGAGCCATGAGGCCACCGCACCTGCCAATACCAAGGTCATCTACTAGCCTCAGTAACCAACGATATATGTTTTGAGCATTTTGAATGTAAAACCGACCGTGAACCAATGGACAATAGTGGTACATACTACACGTGCTATCTGCTGGTGGGCAATTTGCAACCGGTACTTTTAGCTCAAAAAAGTTTAAAATGATAAAAAGTTCCTAAAAGAGTCTAAGGGCAAATAGGAAGAAGATAAAATAATTTTACTCCGACTCTTCCTCTGTTTCCAGTAATTAATGATATCAGTATTGAAGTGGGCGCATTTTGTAATAATATATTTGGTACCAAACGTTAGGCATCTCCTTTCCAGAAGAACTTTTTTTCAAGCTTCTCCATTAATTTTACACCTACATCTAGTCAACATATATAATCTGCACAGGATTATATCACAACAGGTATTAAAGAAAAAACTTCTAAACAACTGAGACAAGGTCATTCCCCAGTACTGCATTGCGCATCCTTACTGCGCATAATTTGTGGCGTCATTAGCGAGCGCTCGTGCACGCGCATATCGAAAACATGACGGATTTGCCTTGATATTGAGTTCTGTCAGTTGAAAAATGGATCTAGCTCACCAACGAGCACGGGCACCCCATTTTTTTTTCCAGTCATTGTGATCAACTAATCATAAACTTTGCGTGAGAAAAGACTGATCTAATTTCTATTGCTGAAAATTGAATAAATAAGAAAAATAGCGGATACACTGTGGTCTTTTCTATTTTGCAGTCAGTAACCACGTCAAGAAATTTGGTTTAAAGTTTTAATGAAGGATTTAGCTTTCTGTCTGAATCAAACTTAAAATGTCTATTTGTGTCCGAAACAATGTATTGACTGTAGTTTAATGCGTGTTCGTATGAGTCTGGGCTCACAAAGATTTTACAATTACTGGGAATGCGTTCTTATAATAAGCATCAAATAATACCAAAATGGGGCATATTCAATGCCTCACTGCTCCTTAATGAGCATGGGCACCCCCCTTTTTTATTTCAAAATTGAAGTTGACAAATACTCAGTGGACAAAGTTTGAACAAAAATCTATTGCAACTTTTCTTCCAGAGGAATTACCTTAATTGCCTGATAACCCAACACATCGGCTGCAAGAGACCTTTGGACTAAACATAGTGAAACAGGTGCTTCAAAACTGTATAGCACAGGATTATAAACACCATGTTATCACCTATCCTCTATCTCTCCTGTCTTTTCTTCTTAAGCCCTCATCCTTCTCTGGGGGCAGGATTGCCGTCGCTGTCTCAATTGTAGTTTTATCTGATCAAACGTGTTGTGAAACAAGTCTTGCGCTCGTTTGAAGGATTCCATGCCTTTCGACGGGAGGCTAAAGATAGATTTGTCAGCTGTTTTAGTCTTTTCTATCACGGATAACTTAGATTCCTTTGGTTTAGTTTCGTTGATCAGTGCTGACTGTTATCTGATGTTATGGCAAGAATTAAACTTTCTTATCACTGGAAATTTTGACTGTAAATTACTTCTAATTCTAGTTCTGGTTACGAGAAAACAGCAAAAAAAATTAGGAACTGTAGTGTACTGTAGGGGCATAAAGTAAATCCACCAAATTGATGCAATGAGCACTGATTCAATAAAATATCTGAAATTATTGCATGGTTTAGGGTGCGGAAGTGGATTATAGGATAATGACACAAAACATTCATTCCAAAGACGATGATAATAACCAATAACATGACATTATATTAAACATAAGACTAGCTAATTTATTGTGAATCACTGAAGAGTCCTAACAGACAGCTTGTCGTGAATTTCACTTAACCTTTTAAGGTGGCGCTGTCGATATTCCAATTCTTTCACTGATCAGTCTCCGTATTACAGTTGGGAGAATTTGTGACCTTTGCGTTAGAAAATGTTCTGACATTGTATGGAGAAACTGGATGCCGGCCACTTTTGAGAAATCCACGCACATTGTAATTACAAATACCTGTTTTGAGTCAGTGAGTCGAGTACGTGACGGCTAAAGGCATGATCTCCATCGACACAAATATGAGAAATACTATAAATGAAAGTCTTTTTTACGTAGCCTGTTGACTTGTTGCATTGTACAGAATATGAACAGCCATTATTGATCTCTGAAGGAAAACCAAAAATGTAGATTATCTTGTGAATATCATGTTCATTTCCTCACATAATATGGCCTCTATAACCGCCCACACATTTTCAAATCATTTCTTTATTTCTAGAGCGTTCAGTGAAGCAACAATACTATCGTAGTCCCCGTACATCTTATTATTCCTCGGTAAAACCCACTCAATGTAGTATAAGTTCTTATTCCTGCTTAAGAACATTTATCCGGAACGAATTTTGTTTAGATAAGTTTTTAACGTAAGGCGTTGTTGTTAGTAGCCAAGCCAACATTTAGGATTTCCTCAACAGCAAAAACCTCAGAGTACTGGGTTTCCTTTATCACAAGAAAACTTGGATTTCCTCTTTTTTTGATGCACCGGGCTGTCTGTCGATTTGCGGTTCATTTTAATTATAGCTTAGAAGCCCAAATCCACTTGTTCGATCAAAGGACGCAAGCTCCTACGCCAAACTATTCAACGCCCATCCGCCCTATTCTCAAAAATTTCATATTGCAGTCCTCAAAAGACATGTTTTTACTGATCTGTTTGCTGATAACTCTTCCAGGTGCTATACAGGCATGCGTGGTGTCTCAGAAGTTATGTTTCTTGCACGCTATACAAGCTGTGCACAAATAAACCTTTCAAGAATGAAAAATACCTTCACTTGCGAAAATCTGTGGATGATTAGTTCATGGATGAAAGAAAGTTGATATTTATAGAAGAATAGGAGACGATTTAAAACACGACATACATCTTTGCGTGCTGTGTTCTACTTCTTTCACTTGAACTCTCGGTTGACATGCCTGCGTGGCCGCTTACAAACACAGTTGCATTACACATCTTGAACAAGCGATAACAAAAGACAACTGACTCTAAACACCCGCCAGTACTCATGTACAAAAAAGTCCTTACCTCGTATTGTTCCAACATATAACGTTAGTTAATGCAGCTTCTGTGCCTGAATACTGCAGCTACGGGAAAAACACATGGATGTGGAACTGTAGTGTCTTTGAATGCATTCGGTAAGCTGATAAATCCTCTTATCCAATATTATCCTATGATGCACGAAAACTTTGATCCAATTGGGAAATACTGTTTGGAGTGTACCCGATTTAATTGTTGTTAAGAATTAAGATTTTTGGCCGAATGTGAGCGCAGTTAAAATAGTTGCACCTCACAGTCCCTTTCTTTATATCGAAACAAAAACTGAATTCGTCGAAGTCAGAATTCCTGTTGGAAACCTTTGATCTGTCATTGAGACGCTCGAATCGGATTTTGTTAAATTGCGAATAGCTCGACAGAAGGCCATTACCGGCTGCAGATAAGCTCAGATGATCTCAGAGCTGTCTCGAGGCTTGGCTTCAGCATTTTGTCCTAGTTTTTATGGTGCAACATTGTTGTTGTAGCTTTAAGCGGACAAAGAGGACGCATGGAAGCTAAACAGCGTAAAGTGTTTCTCTCAGCACCGTTTCGCTTGCCGGGAACCGAATATGCTAATCGAAAGAACGCTCCAGCAACCAGGAACGGGGCAGTTAGAAGGAGAGCAACGCTCGAGCACGCGGCTAAAGGTATGACAAGCAAAATTATAGACTTGTACTGAACTACAACAACGTTAGTGTTTGTTGCTTGCTATTGTTGTAAAGCTATTCAGCGCCCGGTAAGCGGGCACCATGTGGTAAGAACAAGTCATTACTGGTAGTAAAGCCTTCCTTAGTCGCCAAAGCAACATAAGCCTCCAGATTTCCCGTATTGTAAAAGAGGTCACGTCTCCAACACGTAACTAAATCTCTATGGCATACGTTACTTTTTTTTAAATTTAATGGTGCCCTCGTAAAGCTTGTACGGTTGGCATGGTTACCATCACAGCTTCTTTTCTTCGGATGTACTTTGTTGCGAACTCTGATTTTTCCCTCATGTCATCACTGTACATTATACATCTGCCTTTCATTTTACGCATAGCTTTACGTTTGTTATCGGGTTGCAATCACCCATTAGTTATACTTGACCTTGTGAGCATTGGTTTGTATGCGCAACAAGTGTAACAGCAGGGGCTGGTTGTTGCTGCATCACACTACGAACTACGTTACAGAGCGGAAATGGGATGAAAAAAGATTCATTGACTATAAATATCACCCTGCGCAAGTCACCGTACATCAAACTGTGTATATGTAATGAAGTAAATTAAATGGAGGGATAAAGATTTAAGGCTAGCTGTATTTAACATCGCAAACCCGCAAGGTGTATGCGTACCAGGCCCTTGCAAAAATTGCAGAAAATTTGTGATACCTAATTGTTACCAGAATCCCTCTCGCGCCGGAGAGATTCTCGAGAGTGCTTACGAGCATTAAGTATTCGTGTTATCAGAATACAATTCCAAGTAAACTCCGTGGGTGAATGATTGCCGTGATATCGAGTTGTCTTCCCATTTTTCAAGCGAATGGAAATGTACTGTTATTTAACCCACCATACGTAGAGGTTGTCATATAGAAAAGCGTGGAAACCACGGAACTGCGCAGTAATGTAAATCTAATCTCAAGTCTCCCAAGACTTCTTACCGCAGTTGCTATTTAATATTGTGTGGAAGCGGGGGTGGAAAATAAGGAGATTGTCTCCTGTCTTTTTGAGTGTCAGAACTAGCTAGTCAATTCAGTCTTCTTTTCAAGTGTTATGGGCCAATTGTCCGTATTTTGTGTCCGTTCGAAAAGGACTCCATAGCTTTCCCACACTTTCCGCTGGAAGTTCTGAGACAAAACTGTTTTCCAGTGGTTACCTGGTAAAGTGCAATTTATGTTGTCCACAGGCATGTAGTGCAGGTTGTTTGTTATGCTATTGCAAATTACAACTGTGGATTGGCAATTTAGGGTCATTATTGATGAATGGACTGCTGGGGAGGATTAACCGACCAATAACATACATACTGTTTTTCTTACCCTGGCTGAAGTTTGTGCAACATACAAATATTGTTTTCGCTTTTTTTTTCAGTTTTAAAAGTGTTGTTGTGGTTGGTGTTCCTTTTTTTCACTTTTATTTCGTTTGGGCGCTTACTGCGAGATTTAGCTTGCTTCAGTCACTCTTGTACTAGTTTTCTCATTTTACGCTATACTGCTGGAGGTCGGCCGCGTTCAAATAAGTCTGTGTTAATTATATTGCTGACCCTGTTGATTGACATTTGATTTAACAACGTAGCCTACTTAGGTTTTGGCCAGACCAGAAACATGATAAAATGTTAACCTTCAAATGGAACCCATTTGGAGTTGACTGTTTCGGTTGACAAATGCACAAAACTGCTTTGTTTCTTTGCAATGGAGGCAACGTTGAACAATGTATGAAACGCAAATTTTAATGCCTAACGTTCTTAATGTCTGCGAATTTTCTCTGGATAAGTATGATCTCTATAGATTGCATTTTGGAGTAAGACATCGACATTTAATTCCTCAAAATTATTGCTTGGCGTCCACTGAATGTCTAATACCTAACCTTCTTAATAAGCTTGATGTCTGCGAATTTTTTCTGGATGAGGGCAAAACAATAAATTGAAAATTGAATTGAAAATTGAGCTTGGATGAAACTTTCGTCAACCTGTATGGAATAAATACTGTATTTCTTTCAGACCGGGAGTGGCGACGGCTCAAGTCAGAATACGAGAGTTATATCATGGCTTTGGAGGCAGAAAGAGACGTGAGACTACAACAGGAACTAAAGCAACAGGTAAATACGTTGTTTATAATACTAATAGGATATTAACCTCCATATAATATCACTGCTGGGACTTTGCAATCAGGAACCACTGTCAAGGGAAGCTCTAACGAGGTTATAAAAACAGAGTCTCAGACATGTCATTTGGCAGCATTTAAGAATGATAAATAGATCAGTTCAAAACAGACAAAGCTCTAGAACAGTATGCCTTGTTACGAACGTGACTCTATATCCTTGTGGTCATTGTGTCTTTTGAGAAAAGCGCAGCGCCACAAATAATGAAGCTCGCCAGGATATAAGAGTTCGCTCGACAGTTCTGCTGCTAAGCAACGACACAGTGATGGAAGTGCCGCCTTTTGTTTGAGGTGATCAGGAGTAGAACCCAATCACTTAAGTCACGGACTAATAAGTTGGCCCTAGCTCCCTCTATAATGCGCATTTGAAGGTGGCAGATTATATTTTGTACTCTTCATTTTTCTCTTTTTTTCTCCATTGATCAGGTGACCTCGGAATCCTGTGATCCAACAGAGGAGGTTCATTTGCCGGCGACTATGGAAGACGAGGCTCTCAAAAATCAGACCAAGGCAGTGTTACTTGCAGAGTTGATCTCCATGGAGTTATTCTATGGCCTGGAGGATTTGTTACGACGTGATCCAACTACAATAGCCCAGCGAGTCACAAGCAGTAAATTGTACAGTCTAACTGACAAAGATTTACTTTTACACAGCGCAGAAACGCTTCTAGAGGTAGATGTTTAGATTCTTTAGTTTATTAACCAGAATAGGTGCTGTTGTCTTTTACTTGGTCCGGCCACTCCATGTCATGCCACTGACTCACGTTATTGTTTCTACATATTTACTAGTTGACTGAATACTTCTTTGCAAAGAGTACCCTTGCTAATGAGGAAAATGGAAAAAAATTAGCACTGAAATGCCTTGAATCTAAAAATGAAAATACTGAGTTGCCAAGCAGGTCTTTGGAACGAGGTGAGGAAGTCTGTCTTGTTGATTATCTTTAATTAAATTTCTGAGGATCAATCCCAAAACAGACACTGCCTCTCTACAGCGTTGCATTTTTTAAGATTTAGCTGAGATAAATCAATTTATTTTTTCCAAGGTAATTACCGTGAGTATTATCTAAATTTTGAAATCTTAAGTTGGTCGACACTTGGCGGCGTAAGAGCGTCCGATAATAGCATGTGGGTTATTAGCAGAATTTACCATCGTATTTGTAATCGGTTTAGGGTAGTACTGTTTTCTTAACAGCTTACCAACGTTACGCATGATCCTATATAAGAAACGGCTTTGACGTCAGAGTATGACAAAGCAAAACATCAACAAGCTCAACCTGTTTGTTTTCATTACAAGAACAAATATTTTCGTATTGTCATTGGTATTCTAACTTTCCAAGACGTTTTAAGCAACTTAATCCGTAGTCACTACAAGTTAAAAATGGATAAGAAGGATCAGAAATGAAGCTAAGTTAAACGAACTGCAGACTGAATCACCATGCTCGTGATTCTTCAAGTTTTTCCGCGTAAAATAAACAGTCCCTCTGCCTAACTGGATTATGAACATAACTGCAATGAATTAGTCATAAGTAATATAATGTATGATACCGTCATGATGACTACGTGACTAGATTAATCACCAAAAGTCCACGTGTTGCATTACATATGTCACTAATGATTTGACCTCAAATTAAAAAATGGCGGACACGGGAATCTATACTGTTCGGCTTTTTCCGATTGCACTCATTTTTGGTGTAATGTTGCAAAACGAGCTCTTCTTAGTTTTTCGCGAATTAGCGCCGCTGGCCGCATAGTTTGACCATTTCTTTGTCACGTTTTTGATACATCAGAACTACTGTTGTATTTCGTTACTCGAAGATCCAGAAAAAAAATCGTTAAAAGGGGCTGAAGTATAAGTTTTTTGGGTGCATCTGGAACAACCGGAATTTAAATATCCTCTCGTACCCGGGTTCCCAGCTTTCTAGCTAACATTTGACTCAAGGTGGCGTCCAGAAGTTGTCGGCGATATGATTCCAGTGCTTCCTTGTGTTACTAGATGGTGACATTTGCTTCTGATGGTAATCACAGCCGGATCAGATTTTTTCAGAGTACCATTTACAATTAGCATAATGTAAAGTTTTATCAGTGCTGATTAGATATTTTCCCCTCAGGAAACAAGTCGAAAGGTTTTTAGTAATGTTTGTGGACTAAACTCTTCGTCTTTGTTACTAAAACGTACAGTGGATTTGGCCAATATTATGACTCCCGGATGTCGGGCTATGTCGAATACGCAACGCAGGAGGCAAGAGGCGGCCATTATACGCAAGCCCCTGCTGTGCACGCAAATCGACCCCCCTGTGAGTCATATACATTTCTTGTCCCTGAGACACGACCTCTTTTCTTCTAGTGTATGTGTTTAGTGTTTGCAGGATAAAGGAGAAGATTTGATAAATGAACAGGACAATTGACAGTAGTCTAAGTACACTGTAGTATAGGAAAGAATGCTGTTATAGGTACCAGGAGTTATAGTCAAACGTCTTTGTTGTTTAACGCCTAAATGGGGTCAGTTTTCAAACACAACTTTGAATGTAAATTCTTGGAGTCAGGCATAGTTGATCGTCTGCAAGGTAAAAGGTGTAATTCTTGCGAGACGAATGCACGATTCTTTTTCAGGTTTTGTGTTTGGTGGCTTAACTTGACGCCACAATTGGACTATCGCCTGAGGATAAAGCGTAGAAAGTAAAGCCGGCTTTCCCGCTCAGCAGAAACATCGTTACCTCATATGTACTTCAACTAGAAACGGAGAAAATTTGTTAATTTGGCAAGTGGAACTATCTGCCACTCATTACACATCTGGCTCAATTTACCGATAATTGGCTCATCACATGTTATCGCGTGTCCTTGTTTCAGAAAACGGCTCACTGCACAGCACGCCGATAGCGGAGTCTTCATACGAACGCAAAGTGCTTCGTGTTCGAGAGTCACTTGGCAAACTGAAACGAACAACTGATTCTGCCGCTCTTGGCTTCCTTTCGAGACTTTTGGACACCAAGCTAGACGAAAACGAGAAAGGTTTGTTTGATGTTCCAGTTTATCTGCATTTTTTAACATAGTAGTGTATTATGACCTTGTGTGTTTTCTGTATTTTCTGCCACAATATTGAAGTACTAACAAAAGTCCATAATCAGTTTTCTCATTAGGCTTCATTTTTACATAAACTTCTAACGATAAGTTTTATGCCTCACTCAGTGGTCGCGTATTTGCCTGTACTTGGGAGTTTGGCAATTATTTGGGTTACCAGCTAAAACACTTGATGGGTGAGCGAATAAATGGTTTAGCAAATTGGGATCTTCGCTGAGGATCGTTGCGGAACGGGGGGATAACTCGGTTGAGCCACTGGCTCGTTACGGGATGCCAGAGGCACAGAGAACTTGTTTCTTCGCACTACTCCAGCGACAACACAGCAGAAATAAATAAATAAATAAATAAATAAATAATAACTTTATTTAAGTGTCGAATGTATTTAGCACTATTGTACTAATTGGGGACACTGTAAATAAATAACCAAATATTCCAAATATAATCAACAATTATTCACCGAAGTGGAGGTAAATATCCATCACTTTCACCGACACTGGGGTGAATAATTGTTTTAGAATATACCACACAAGTTGAATAATTAGCGGACCAAAACGTTTTTTTTTAATGTGTGACAAGCGGTCGGAATTTTTTAAATCTCTCGCGCCGGCTGCTCGGAGGTGAATAGTGCTTGCTAATCATCTCCGAGTTAACCAATCAGAGCACGCAAAAAGCACTATTCACTTGTGTGGTATATATTAAACTATTAAGAATCCCAACTGGTTGGAGGCTGACCAGTTGGCTATTTACACAACGCGGTCGAGGAGTTGAACTCAGGACTACCGAGAACAAATCCAGATAGCAGTAGGGAGGAGGATTTCAACCAGGGAACTCCAATTCCAGCGCGCTAAACCACCGGCCACGCTGCCTGAAAAAAAAAAAACAAAAAAAAACAAGGAAACTTCTTTGGAGCTCAGCAAATCTTCTTTATTGTTTTCTAGTACGAAAGATGTATTGTGCATGAAGGAAAATTATTTTTTTCATGCAAAAGATTGATGTATAAAGTATTTTATAATTAAAAATCCAGATTAACTTTTTGAACGTTTTGAACGAATGAAATGTTACTTTTGAATGCAAAATCTATTATGCTTATGAATAGATCGACCAATTAGTCTATTTGCTACATCTGGGCAGATGTTCCTTTCAAAACTTTCCCCAATGTAAATTGTATATTGTATCTATTGTACCTCAAAACATAAATGATTAGATTGAATTATATCGATAACCATATTTGGAAGGGGTGGGGGGGAGGGGGGCTCCGTCAAGGCAGGGCTGGGGACATGGCCCAGGCACTGGCCTATCTGCTGGTGGTTTGCTGGCGGCCAGCCGTCAAAAGAAGGGGGGAGGGGAGGGTTTCTTTTACTGACACTTCCACTTGGCTCGTCTTGAGTTTTCAGTGTCAAACAACGTTGATATTGACTGTGTGGCTAACACCTCGCTCAGTTGTTAAACATTGTTTAAGCGTTCTGTGTTGGCATGGAACTTTGCTGAAGAGGCACATGCCACGTGCAGCTCCTAGCCAAGGGGGGAGGGGGGTCAAGGCGCTTGGGGCTCCTGGCCCTCTTTGCGGGTATGTTTTGGCGAATATGGTCAGAAGTCAGTGTAAAAAAGTCAAAACATTCAAATTTTTCGTAGGAATAAATAAGTGAAAGGATGGTTTATATACCCCTTACGATAGTAGACAACAAACTTTCAAACAGTTTTAAACATAGCATGCTGGACAAAACTGTTCTGGATCGACGTTTTACGACAAACAATTGAAACAAGCAAAACGAGTCAAATAATTTTGTGATTACCCAAACCTTATTAAATTCCACACATGGAAATGTATTTTCATACAGATCACGGAAGGAAGACTTGCGTCGCAGAGTATCTAAATTTGCGGACTGAATCACAAAGTACGGAAACTTACGCACAGACTTACGCACATGTCTTTACTCATCGGTATTGACGGGACCACAAACATTCACTAACTGAAAGTTTGAATTGGAAAATGTCTCTGTTTTTGTTCGAAGTTGGATGTCAAAATAATCAGTAAGCGAATAAAACCATAAAAATGAATTATTTGCAGTAAGTTTCTGTTACGCTTACGCACATGCCCCCACCCCCACCCCCATGATGTTATATGAGAATTTCAAGAGGGCTCAAGCTGTACTATATTACTTCTCTCTCCTTTCTTTGAGCGTACATATTCCTGATTAAAATATGTTTCCTGAAGAATTTTGTCAAGTATCATTCAATACTATGCTCGTCTCCTCTAGTAACGTGTGCCTTTTCATTTATCTATTTTTAAATTAATTATTTTTCTTTAATTGAAACAAGATTGTAGTTGAACTTAAAGTCGATATCTAAAACAACGTGTGATTTGTAGAAAGTTTTAATTCATTAGTTTGTGTACATACAGGATTTACAGCAAACACCGTAAAATAAGAGCGTACCGTTGTCAATTTTCTAGGTCAGATTTTGTCACATTTATCATCCTCATTTCTGATGAATATCTTACTTCAGACCTGTTCTGAAGATTCCCCTTACTTACCGGAAATTCCGTTTATAACAATGATGTCTTTTTTTTCCTTTAAATCACTTTATACTATTCAATTCATCCTGCATCGACTACTGCCTTCACTTTAGATGCTCGTGTTAGATTGCAAACCCTCCTGAAAAGTCAACATGTGCTATGCTTTGCAATAACTTTGCTTTCTCATAACTTTTAAAACATTTGATCCAATTTTAACTTTTTCAGTCACAAATGCCGCCCATAGTGTTGGAAAAAATATTCTCCATGTAAATATGTGTGATATTAACTGTCTCTTATCTCGTCCCATCATCTTTATCGCTAGCCCGTAATTACCACTCATAGAGAATCTAAATAAGTACAATTGCACAATTTTCAACCTATGGCTATGTCTTAAATGTAAGTGGGAAAAACTGATAAATGGTATTCCTTACTTTGTGTGAAATAACTTAGCATATCTTTGTATGAGCAGAACCCATTAAGTTTTCCAGATTCAACGGACAAGTGGTCATGAATGCTTGTAAACATATCATGTGCTTATTCAGAAAAGTTAAGCACTCAACATTGAGCCCTAGGGCAAACAGTAACATAACGACAAGGCATCTGCTTGTTCTGTCCACGAAGGTGAGATTTTGACAGGAAGCCATATTTTTGTCATGTCTTGTAAACTTCCCCTCTGTAGTAACTTCCGCCGACTCAACACTCGTGATTCAAGTTGGTGACAGGTTGATCTGTTGCTGAGGCTGTTCCTTGATTGTGTTACTATGAATGCCTTGATAATACCAACGTTGATGTGTTAGGTAATGACTTACAGAAGGTATTTTCTTGCTTTTTTCACTCAGGTTTACAAGAGTACAAAAAGCGGCTGTATGAACTTCTAAGACATCTTGTCAAGTCCCCGGATACTTCCTCAGGTATTACATAGGCGTCAGCTATATATCAGGGATTTTTTTGTTTACGTTATCTCATTTAACCACCCACTAAACAGAGCTCAGTCAAAAGACATAGTAAAAGGGAGGGACATAAATGGCTTCCATAATCTTTACAGCTGAGCAGGTCTACTCATGAAGTCGTTTGCAGAACCTGTTTGGAGTTTTCTTTCAGTTTCCAAATGGTTTATATGAAGGAATATATCTATGACCTTTGAGGAGTGTGGATAGCCAAGAGGGAGTGTTTTTTTTTTTAATAGAACCTTGACGAAACATATCTATTCCTTACACTATCCTTTCTCTGGGAATACCTCTACCATTCCCCAGTTTACATAGTCCCTGGAAATATTTCTTCTTTACCAGGGTTAACATGTCCCGGGAAAAGGTAAAAGTCCAGTTTTTAAGCACTCAAAAGTGTGTTTGGCTTCCCAATTAATCAAGAGATAAAGAAAGCACTCAAGCATTTTCAAAATGCTGAAGTATCCATTCTAAGGAAGGTGGGAGACAGTAGGGTGGTCGATGATAAATTATGTGCACTGCTGGGAAACACTCCAGAGACAGAGACAGAGAGAGTAGATTGAACTTGAAATCTAATTACTTGCTGATGCAAAGCGTACATTAAGTAAGGAGCAGGAAATTCTTAGTTTTGTTGTATCTATTACGTCTTTCGTTAAATCATAATACAAACAGAAAAAACAGATGTCATAGATGTTTAATTGTTGTCTTAATTGGCCAGGTGTCTTGGCAGATATATCATTAACTGTACACATTAACCTCGTACGTTACACTTCGTTTCTTTGTTCAAGACAAGTTTGGACTAAAAGATAAGATGTATTCTACCAATTGTGACAATTGTATCTCTTATCTGTTTGTGGAAGACTTACGGACAATATCAGTTTCTGATTTGGAAAAGCGTATCAGTCGTTTTCACAGATTTGACGAATGAAATTTTTGCTCTGTATTTGAAATTCAGCACCCGGGGATGGAACTCTTGTCGATTCAGTGAAGCTCGAACAGTCCTTGTGTCACGTGCTCATGGACAAAGCCATTCTGAACTGCCTTTTGTTATTGGATAAAGCCGACATGGAGTTCCGGATTAAAACCTTAGCAGAGCAGCAAACTCGATTTGATTATTCAGGTATGGTTAGTTCAATAATCTTCTACAACCGACACAACAACAACTAAAATATTAATAACAATAGTAATAATAATAACATCAACAACAACAGAAGAGAGGTTTGGAATGATACAGAAACGTCTTCGACAGATTTTGTAATTTCAGCATCTAAATTTAGGAAATTATCCAGACATCTAGCGTAAAAGAAGGTAACTTTCCGGTTTACTTCAATTGCGATGTTAATCACTTTGTCTTTATCTGACTAATACGTTGCACAAGTCTAGACACCCAACGAGGTCGGTCATTGTAAACCTTTGTACGCGTGGGTCTGACTTTTTTTTACCTTTGCATCGTCAAATCCTCGTCCGTTCTTGGCGAAGTCAATTGTGAAACGTAAAGGGTGTTATATTATTGTTTATTATTTGGTGTTTTGGTGAGTTAAAGGAGCTCAGCCACGGTACAAAATTACCTTTAAACTGAAGAAAAACTGAAAATAGTGGTTTGGTAAGATAGAAAAACACCAAATAAATAATAATCATAATCCATAAAGGGACAAGGGTGGTCAAGGATGGAGAAGATCGACTGACACTGATTACAAACGAAGAACTTGAAAGATTTAGGTTTAGCTTTTCAAGACGCGCAAACCATGCAAAGTTTGCAGCATTAGGTAGCAGTCCTTCTTTGATAGATCAATACTAACACTTTTTTTCAGTGCTAAAAATTATATGAAGTCATGAAACTTTACGCATCCTTTTTACCTGGGTCTGCTAAAACAATATTCTAGTGTTAGGCAAATCCGTCACAATTCCGTTAATTTTCTTCTTTCCAGGGTTTAGCAGTATGACATCCGGTCAGTTTGAATGTTCAAGTCAGTCTAGCGATGATTTTCTCCCCTCTCCACCCCTCTCAGGGAGACCTAGTGGTGAAGGACGCTTGACATCAGTGGACGAAGGGGTGGTACTGGAGAGTTTGAGTGACAGCGCTAACAGCCGCGAGAAGCTCTCCGTGCATCTGGAAAACACAGCGGAGGAACTGGAAGCTGAAAACAAACGTTTATATGAAAAGAACGAGCAGTTAAGAAAACGATACGAGCAGGCCGAGGACGAAAAAAGCGAACTGGCTTTGAAGATTCTGGAGTACGAAAGAAAGCTTGACAGAAGTGAGAAGAAATTGAACAATTTGATACAATCAGGAAACTCTGATGAGATCGACCTAAAGGACAAAGTGGAAGAAAAAGAGTTTGAAACAACGGAATTATTTACACGTGTGGAAGAGCTCGAAGATGAACTTCATATAAGGGAACAGTCGATTGGAGTGTTAAAAGAGAACGAACGAAAGCTGCGAGGACAACTTTCTGAAGAACGAAAACGCTCTGATGATGCAGAAGAACGCAATGCGAAACTTCAGCTGAAATTCAGACAGCTTGAGGATAAGTTTGAACAAAGTGAACTTAAACTTGCATCCTTCACGGGATCAGATTTGCTTGAGAGTAATAAAATAGCAAAGCAACTGGAAAGTTCAATTGCAGAGAACAGGGCGTTAAACCTTAGAATCATTCAGCTGGAAGAGAGAATAAACGGACTAAACGAAACAGGTAGCATGCCACCCTCTTCAAGTATTACTGGAAATGAGAAAGACGAAGATCAAAAGAAAATCCTCGAGAGAAAAATTATTGAATTGCAAGTTAAGCTGAAAGAACAGCAAGTAAAAATCCTGAGCGTAAAAGAATATGAGCGAAGGCTTCGTGCTGAACTTTGTAAAGAAATGACGAAGAAGTTAACAAAGGCTCAAACGCGCAGTCGCGAGCTTGGCGAGAAAATCTTTGAGCTCGAGACAAAGCTTCGGCAAGCGGAGCAGCAATACTCGACCGTGAAAGGTCTGGATATGAATGTACGGAGTGCCATGCGCGATGACATCAAAACTTTAACGGACAAGTTGGAAGATGCCGAGGCTCGCAATAGGGAACTAAGTACAAGTGTTCAGGATGCAGAAGAACGCTTCCGACTCTCACAGCGTGAAGCGCTTGCTGCGAAACAATCTGAAATTGACTTACGTGAAAAAACGCAGATGTTGGAACTCGAAAACTGTAAAATTCAGGAGAAATTGCTCTCTCGGAGAGAAGAGAAAACGGCCCGGACTTCCACTGGAAGGACTGCAGACAGACTAGAAAAGCTGAGAAAGGAAAACTCGAACCTTTCTTTGGAACTGAAATCTTTCAGAGAAAACATTTTGAAACTGGAAAGAGAGATGCTCGAAAAAGATCAAGAAATTCTAAATTTGAGAAACGAATCAGTAGATCTTTCAAGTGAAGTATGCAAGTTAAGATCCGAGCTTGATAACAGTTCGAGAGACAAAGCCCTTCAAGAGAGAAGTCTCTTAAGATCTGCCGAAACAGAAAAGAAACTCGCGGCAAAACTTGTTGTATTACAACAGGAACTGGAAAAACTTCGGGCATGCAAACCACAGATAACAAATGGAAATCAACACGCTGTTGAGTTAGACGGGAAAAGTGATTCCACAGCATCAACTTTGATGATTGGTGAAGAGCGTCCTGGTGAAATTGCAGTTCAACCTGTAAACGCCCAGATATTTTCAGAAGAAAATAATGAAATGATTAAAGCTTCACAAGAAGAAACAGAGCAACTTCTTAGTGAGCACAGGAATTTCCAAACTGTCGTTGAGGAACTTCAGCATGAAAACGCCAGGATGGTGAAAGAGAATGAACAGCTTATCCAAGAAATAAAAACTCTGGAAGCCAATTTGTCCATTGTGGAGAAAACATTCCAAGCGTGTCGTTCGGAAAACGAGTGCTTGCTGCAAGAAATAAATCTGAAGTCAGCTGAAGCGACCACTATGAGAACTTACGCATCGTTTTGCAGCGATAAGGCCAAGGAACTGCGTTCGGAAATCGCCTCTCACAGAGAAAACGAGGCCTCTCTGGAGAAAAGATTAACCGACTTGGAGAGAGAATCAGCATTCGTGCGAAATGAGATGGGCCATGGGATATTAGAGTTTTCAGAGCTTAAGGAAAGGAAAGAATCCTTGGAGAAAAAGATTGTCGAAGCTAGCCGTGTCGTTGATCGGTTAAAGCAGGAAATTCTGGGTCTTATAAATGGCGTGTTAACTCTGCAAAGAGACGTGAGCACTCATATTGATATGATAATCGCTTCTCTCGGATTGAATGTGAAGGCTGTTCAGCGATTTAGATCGAGACCAACATCTGCTGATTCCTATGATACCTCGACGCAAACTGAGGAGTCGAGCAGTGAAGTCAGCAGTGAAATAAACGAGATTCTTTCGTGGAAAACTTCGTTTCTCGTTCCCCTTCTTCCAGATAATGAATGCTTCTTAAATCCTTCGGATGTGAGCATAATTAGAGAGAACAAAACGGAAATTTTACGACTGTACGAGGACTTGAAAGCTAAAATCCTCGCAATCAAGGACGCATTAAGTCGAATGCACGACGCACCAAATTCCGGCACTGTGCATGGCGGAAAACTTGAGATCAAGCCCAGTTATGAAGTTAAAAGTGAACTCGGACCTGATTCTTTGATGGACAGTTCCAAGAGCAGTACTGTGTTACCGCGACTCAGCAAGGCCGAGCGCGTCAAACTGTCGAGTTTACTGTCTCGATTAAAAGAGGAATTAGTGCGAGAAAGGACAACAAACAACGACGGTCGAATCGGCGGTGATGGGAGTGATATTTGCCTCCTTTACGACAACTTGGAAAGCAAACTTTCTCGGCTTTCATGCGAACTTGCCACTAAAGAAGACGAGATAACACAACTGCTAAACGAGAAGACAAAGCTTCAAAATGAGCTGGAAGAATGCGAGAGGGGCGTCGCCACCTGTCAGCATTGCACCTCAAAAGTCCCGGATGAGCTGGAGGAGAGCAGAGGTCAGCTTAAAGGAAATCTTCTTTCTCACATGCAGGACACCTCTCGACTTGAGGGGGAAATATGCGAGTTCATGGAGTACAGGCAGAGGCTGGAGGGAGAGTTGGCTCAAATCAAGGGAACGATCACCGATCTAGAGGACGAGCTGGATGTAAGGAAGATATTAATCGAGAGATGTATCAGCTCCAGACCCCCAGGGCATGAAATGTAAGTAAACGCGATTTCACGTTAGGAGAATTTCATTTTACACTTAACACTTTGAGAAGTTAAGGACGGTGCCTACTAATTGCAAAGGTTTTTGCACCAGGTTAGAATCACGCGGAAAAAGTAGATCTTTGCAAGGGCTATTGGAATTTACAAAGAAAAATGGGGGTAGCCACGCATTTTTTCGAGATAATTAGCCTTGAATCTCAACAAAAATGCTGACATCAGCATTTTCCTGAAGAAAGAAGGAAAGGATATTTTTTCACAGATTTCCATAGAATTCGCCTTTACATAAAGAAAAGCAAACACATTTAAAAAGATCATGGCAAATGGTAATAAAAAACATTTTTGATATGTTTTTAATGACAAAATCGTTGCAAAACCGCTTTTAGCGTATATGACAGCCTTCCTCTGGTTAAGCTAAAATACAGTCTAAATACCTTTTACTCACAACCAGAAACTAATCACGTGTTGAATAGACTTGCCACTTGCATTTCATAACATAAAATGTAGGGGTAACCGCGCGTTTTTTAAATTTATTGATTTTTTTGGAAAACTTTTACGGTGCCCGTCACATTTTTTCCTGTCACCTCCCCAGTAAGTAAGACATTTGCGTATCTCGCACTTGTCTTGCGAGCGCACTACGCCATCTGCAGGTACATGTTTACAGTTGGATTTCAGTATAATTTTCGACAGATAACAGTTAGGTTTTCAGCTGGAAGACGTAAACAGTAAGTGGTTAGCGATATGCTGCTATTCTGGTGTTACTGATTTAAGTACAGGTTCATTAAACTTGATTTGGTCACAGTAGGAAAATTTTGCTTTCATTTTGTCGTGTACGTGATAGCGTAGTTGATTGCGTCAATGTCAGCCCCAGCGCGCGCGTGGAACTAAACCATGGCTTGCGTGATGCGCAGAACGTGTGCACACCAACAAAAGTAGGCACCGTCCTTAAGGCAAGTAAGGTTTGCTCATGCTAGGAACCACTTAATGATGATAACAAGAGTAAGTGTGCGTTTTATTGAAGTTTGAGGCAAATACCATGCAGGACACTGACTTCTAAAGTAGAAGATTTCCGCAACAGCCGGGGACTCGAATGATGCCTTCTGAAACCTCTTTACCATCTGGCACAGTGACGGATAGCCCCTGCGAGCAAGCTGTCTTGGAGTTACTTTAAGGAAGCTTGCTCATAGAGTATGTAATGGTGAAGAAAGCTTTCGAAAGGCCTTTAGATCATTAATGAACAGTTAACCTCAAGAAGAAACATAAAGAGATCTTTTCTCTCTGAAACCTTCCCGCGAATTCTCTATCTGTCGTCTTTTGAGTCCAGGTTTTTCTCTCTCTCGTCATGGAGAGACAAGGCTAAGGGAAGGGAAAGGGGTCTCTTTCCTCGAATCTTATTAACTGATGCTCTTCCACCTAATCACCTGGTTCAACCGGTCGTTTGTGTTTTTTTTTTTTTTTTTTT